TGCCAGCCCAGGAGAAAAGGCTGAGTCCACCACTGTGCAGCTTAAGATCCCTGAGGTGGAGCTGGTTGCGCTGGGTGCCCAGGAGGAAGGGAGAGTGGAGGGGGCGGTGGCCGTCAGTGGAATGCAGCTGTCAGGGCTGGAGGTTTCCACAGCCAGGCGAGTGGTCACTGAGGGCCATGAGGCGGGGCTAAGGATGCCTCCGCTGGGCATCTCCCTGCCCCAGGTAGAACTGATGGGCTTTGGTGAGGCAGGTACCCCGGGGCAGCAGGCTGAGAGTACAGCCCCTTCAGCAGAGGGCACAGCAGGCTACAGGGTCCAGGTGCCCCAGGTGACCCTGTCTCTGCCTAGAACCCAGGTTGCAGGTGGGGAGCTGTTGGTGGGTGAGGGTGTCTTCAAGATGCCCACTGTGACAATGCCCCAGCTTGAGCTGGACGTGGGGCTAAGCCGAGAGGTGCAGGCAGGGGAGGTGGCCACAGGCGAGGGTGGGCTGAGGCTGAAGTTGCCCACGCTGGGGGCCAGAGCTGGGGTGGGGGGCCAGGGTGCTGAGGAGCAGCCCCTAGGGGCCGAGCGTACCTTCCGCCTGTCACTGCCCGATGTGGAGCTCTCACCACCTGGGGGCAACCACGCTGAGTACCAGGTGGCAGATGGGGAGGGGGAGGCTGGACACAAGCTCAAGGTGCGCCTGCCCCGGTTTGGCCTGGCTCGTGCCAAGGAGGGGACCGAGGAGGGTGACAAGGCCAAGAGCCCCAAACTCAGGCTGCCCCGAGTGGGCTTCAGCCAGAGCGAGATGGCCACTGGGGAAGGCTCTCCCAGCCCTGAGGAAGAGGAAGAGGAAGAGGGCAGTGGGGAAGGGGCCTTGGGACGCCGGGGCCGGGGCCGGGTCCGCTTGCCACGCGTAGGCCTGGCGGCCCCTTCTAAAGCCTCACGGGGACAGGAGGGTGATGCAGCCCCCAAGTCCCCTGTGAGAGAGAAGTCCCCAAAGTTCCGCTTCCCGAGGGTGTCCCTAAGCCCCAAGGCCCGGAGTGGGAGTGGAGACCAGGAAGAGGGTGGATTCCGGGTGCGGCTGCCCAGCGTGGGGTTTTCGGAGACAGGGTCTCCAGGCCCAGCCAGGATGGAGGGGGCTCAGGCTGCGGCCGTCTGAAGCCCCTGGGCAGATGGAGACTCCCTTCTTGCCTTCCTTTCTCCTCCCCCACCCCCGCTGTTGTGTGTGTGATAACTAGCACTAACCCTAAGAGGGCCAGGAGGTGGGCAACTGACCAGGACTAGTGGGGAGGCCTGCTCCTGTCTCGCTGGCAGGAGTGTGTGTCTCCCACAAGCCATGTGAATAAAGTAATCCGGAAGTAGCTGTGTGTTCATCTCCTCTGTGTGCATAGTGGGAGGGGAGGGGCAGGGGGGGTAGGGGAGATGCAGAGAAGGCAGTCTCCAAAGAAGAGGTTTTAGGGTTTAGAGGTCCCCGGCCTGAGGGGAACCTCAGGTGTCAGGGAAGAAACAGGTCACATCTGGTCTGAGAAGAGTCAGGCGGGCTGGGTGCAGTGGCTCACGCCTGTAATCCCAATGCTTGTGAGGCCAAGGTAGGAGGATTGCTTGAGCCCAGGAGTTTAAGACCAGCCTGGGCAACATAGGGAAACCTCAGCTCTAGAAAAAATACAAAAATTAGCCGAGCATGGTGGCCTGTGCCTGTAATCCCAGCTACTTGGGAGGCTGAGGTGGGAGGATGGCTTGAGCCCGGGAGGTTGAGGCTGCAGTGAGCCGTGATGGTGTCCCTGCAATCCAGCCGGGGCAACAGAGCCAGACTGTCTCAACAAAAACAACAGCAGAGTCAGTGTGGCCTTGCGGCAGGCCCTGGTGGGAGGGGAGACTTCCCTAGCCCTTGAGAATTCCCAGGGGTTGTTGACGAGGACTCTGGGGCATTCCCTGGTAGAGCACAGCTTCGGGTCCCCTCTGCCAGGGAGCCAGCCTGCTCTGGAGGACCCACTCCTACCAGGCTGGTTGCTCCCCACCTGCCCTCTGCTGGCAAGGGCACTTCTGCACATCCTGGTCTTCTCTTTCCAGTCTGGCAGGTTTGACGGCCCTATCCACTCCCGCCCCACCCAGGAAGGGCGCTTCTGGTCCCCTCTTCAGGATTCTGGGTCCAAAGCCTCCACCCCAAACACACAGCTGCCTCTTAGAACTAGGTTCTAGGGTCTTCAGCACCCATCAGTGCTGGGCTCAGCTGCCAGGGACCACCTGCCATCCATCCCTGCCATCCTGATTCAGGATCTGAGTCCCGGGGTCCCCACCAGGGCTTCCAGCCTCCTCCACGTCTCTCTGTGATATCCCACCTGGACTATGGAGACTCGATATCCAGTCCCAAGTCTTGTCCCGACAGCGCCCCCCATGCTCTTCACATCTCCCTCTCCTGTCTCAGCGGGTGAGGGGCCTGGCAGATTCCCGTACTCACTGGAGTACCTTGTCCCTTCAAGCTGGCCCTCTTCTGGTCACTGCCTCACCACACACCTTTTCTTTGCACAAAGCAGACATGGCGGGAGTTATCTACACTCACGGTGCACACCGTTTCCAAGATCCCAGCATTGGGGTTTTCCTCCTATCTTGTATGTGTCAGCAGTGACCTCTCTGTGGCCACGCCTGAGGGTTTCCTTTGTCTCTCTCATCGTGACTTCTCAAGGCCCCTTCGATCTTCCTGACATTTGCTCCTCTCTTCCCCATACTTCTCTCTCCTTGGGCACTTGGGGCTCCTCCGGGGCCCTTGTCCACCCCAACACCCTCCCTAGGGCGCGTCACCCTCCCCTATGGCTTCCACACCTCCTCTCTGTGCTGACAACTCCCAAACTCTCTCCTGCATTCCCCTGGGGACCCAGCAGTTTCTGCACACCTCTCCTGGAGGTCCCCTGGTCATTAGGAGGTTGCGGGTGATGGTTCAGAGCCTAGTGCTGGAGCCAGGCTGCTCAGGGTCAAAGGCTGTCTCTGGCATTCACCTGGGTGGTGACCCTAGGCATTTTATTTTATTTTTTATTTTTATTTTTCGAGACAGAGTCTCACTCATTGCCCAGGCTGGAGGCTGGAGTACAATGGTGCAATCTTTTTTTTTTTTTTGAGACGGAGTTTTGCTCTTGTTACCCAGACTGGAGTGCAATGGCGTGATCTCGGCTCACCGCAACCTCCTGGGTTCAAGCAATTCTCCTGCCTCAGCCTCCTGAGTAGCTGGGATTACAGGCATGCGCCACTATGCCCAGCTAATTTTTTGTATTTTTAGTAGAGACGGGATTTCACCATGTTGACCAGGATGGTCTCGATCTCTTGGCCTCGTGATCCACCCGCCTCGGCCTCCCAAAGTGCTGGGATTACAGGCGTGAGCCACCGCGCCCAGCAATGGTGCAATCTTGGCTCACTGCAACCTCCGCCTCCCAGGGTCAAGCGATTCTTGTGCTTCAGCCCCTGACCTCAGCCTCCCAAGTAGCTGGGACTACAGGTGTGCACCACCATGCCCAGCTAACTTTTGTATTTGGTTTCGTCATGTTGGCCAGGCTGGTCTCAAGCTCCTGACCTCAGGTGTTCTGCCTGCCTTGGCCTCCCAAAGTGCTGGGATTATACAGATAGGAGCCACTGCTCCTAGCCAGGCATTCAAAAAACTTCTTTGTGCCTTGGTTTTCTCTTCCATGAAATCCCTACTTTGTATGTTGTAAGGATCAGATAAGACTTCTAAAGCCCTCCATCCTGGCTTAAATGTTTTGATGTTAAATTTTCTAATCTGGCTGGAGTGGTGGCTCATGCCTACAATCCCAGGATTTGGGCCGGGCGCGGTGGCTCACGCCTGTAATCACAGCACTTTGGGAGGCTGAGGCGGGTGGATCACGAGATCAAGAGATTGAGACCATCCTGGTCAACATGGTGAAACCCCGTCTCTACTACAAATACAAAAAATTAGCTGGGCACAGTGGCGCGTGCCTGTAATCCCAGCTACTCGGGAGGCTGAGGCAGGAGAATTGCTTGAATCCAGCAAGGGTTGCGGTGAGCTGAGATCCCGCCATTGCACTCCAGCCTGGGTAACAAGAGCGAAACCCCACCTCAAAAAAAAAAAAAAAAATCCCAGCACTTTGGGAGGTCGAGGCAGGAGGATCACTTGTGGCCAGGAATTTAAGACCAGCATGTACAATACAGTGAGACTCCATTTCTACAAAAAAGTAAAAAGATAAATAAAAATAAATACATTTTCTTTTTTCTTCTTTTTTTGAGACAGAGTCTTGCTCTGTCACCCAGGCTGGAGTGCAGTGGCGTGATCTCGGCTCACTGCAACCTCCACCTCCCAGGTTCAAGTGATTCTTGTGCCTCAGCCTCATGAGCAGCTGGGATTACAGGGGCCTGTCACCAACGCCCGGCTAATTTTTTGTATTCTTAGTAGAGACGGGGTTTCACCATGTTAGCTATGACGGTCTCAATCTCCTGACTTCGTGATCCACCCACCCGCCCCGGCCTCCCAAAGTGCTGGGATTACAGGCATGAACCACTTATGCCCAGCCAAAAACAAATACATTTTTTTTTTTTTTTTTTTTTTTGAGACGGAGTTTCGCTCTTGTTACCCAGGCTGGAGTGCAATGGCGCAATCTTGGCTCACCGCAACCTCCGCCTCCTGGGTTCAGGCAATTCTCCTGCCTCAGCCTCCCGAGCAGCTGGGATTACAGGCACGCACCACCATGCCCAGCTAATTTTTTGTAATTTTAGTAGAGACGGGGTTTCACCATGTTGACCAAGATGGTCTCGATCTGTTGACCTCGTGATCCACCCGCCTCGGCCTCCCAAAGTGCTGGGATTACAGGCTTGAGCCACCACGCCCGGCCCACAAATACATTTTCTAATTTGGCCTCAACATCTCCCCAAATCCGCTCATTATCCATGTTCACTTCTCAAGGATTGCCCCTTCATGCCAGAGCCCTGGGCCTGGGGCTGGTCCTGGGTAGCTCCTTTCTTTCCCCCCACCTGTCAGTCTCACGGCCAGTCCTGGCCTCCTGAGTGTCCCATCCACTGGCCTCCTCCTCCCCTCCCTAACCTCTCCCATCTGTGCCCTGCCCTGGACTCTTTCCCAGGCTTGGGGCCTCCACTCTTACCCAATCTAACCTATCCTTTTTCACACAGTAGCTTTCTGACACTCATCTCTGACCCTGCCCTCTCCTGCTCAAAGCCCTCTGTGGCTCCCCAGTGCCCTCGAAACGAAGTCCAAACTCCTTAGTCTGGCATTCAGGGCCTTTTACAACCTCACCCTAAGGCAGCCACAGGCTAGGACAGGAGTTTCTGAACACAGACAGACATACATGCAAATCACATCTCCGGAGCTTGAGAAGCTTGCCTTTCCTCACCTCTGCCTTATCCCCATTCCTTTTTGCCTAAGGCCGGCAATCAGACTCCCCTCTGTCAACACTTTGCCTGTTTGGTCCTTGCAAGGTTCCACCACTGGGCGGGGGAGGGGGCCCAGCCTGGTACCCCACCCCCACTCAGCCAGGACGCAGGTCTCCAACAACAGAACACCAGAGCCACTCAACAACACTGAAACCCAGTCGGGGGGCCCAGGGCCCCTCGTCCCAAGCCAGGAAGGCTTTAGGGGAGCAGGATACCTGGGTGGGTTCTGGGTGCAGGCCCTGGCAGACTCACAGTGTAGCCAAGGGGTCTGGGGGTGCCAGGTAAGCAGGGGCCAACCTCACAGGAGAAGGCACGAGTGCGGTTGTCTTTCCCCCACCGGGGGGCTGGTGGTGTCAGAGGCCTTGGCGGCGAAGCCAGTGGCGCAGGGGCCTGGGCAGGGCGGTGTCCGGCAGCAGGGACACCATGGCCACCATCCAGTCAGAGACCGACTGCTACGACATCATTGAGGTCTTGGGCAAAGGCACCTTTGGGGAGGTAGCCAAGGGCTGGCGGCGGAGCACGGGCGAGATGGTGGCCATCAAGATCCTCAAGAACGACGCCTACCGCAACCACATCATCAAGAACGAGCTGAAGCTGCTGAGCTGCATGCGGGGCCTGGACCCCGAGGAGGCCCACGTCATCCGCTTCCTTGAGTTCTTCCACGACGCCCTCAAGTTCTACCTGGTCTTCGAGCTGCTGGAGCAAAACCTTTTTGAGTTCCAGAAGGAGAACAACTTCGCGCCCCTCCCTGCCTGCCACATCCGTACGGTCACCCTGCAGGTGCTCCGAGCCCTGGCCCGGCTCAAGGAGCTGGCGATCATCCACGCCGATCTCAAGCCCGAGAACATCATGCTGGTGGACCAGACCCGCTGCCCCTTCAGGGTCAAGGTGAGTAGGGGCCGTCTAGGGTGGCTGCGTCCCTAGTTCTTTGTCTTTTTCCAGCTTCCTCCAGCCCTAGATGCCTTTTTTTCTTGACTTAAAAAATTTTGGGGGCTGGGCGTGGTGGCTCGTGCCTGTAATCCAAGCACTTTGGAGGCCAAAGTGGGTGGATCACCTGAGGTTTGGAGTTCAAGACCAACCTGACCAACATGGTGAAACCCCGTCTTTAAAAAAAAAAAATTTTTTTTAAACAAAAAACAAAACTAAAACTTAGCTGGCCATGGTGGCGCACGCCTATAGTCTCAGCTACTCGGGAGGCTGGGGCAGGAGAATGGCTTGAACTCAGGAGGTGGAGGTTGCGGTGAGCCAAGATTGCGCCATTGCACTCCAGCCTGGGTAACAAGAGTGAAACTCTGTCTCAAAACAAAAAACAAAAGCAACAACAAGAAAATTTTTTAAAGATATTAATTAATTAATTCTTTTTTTTTTTTGAGACGGAGTTTCGCTCTTGTTACTCAAGCTGGAGTGCATATTTATTTACTTTTAGGGACAGGGTCTTGCTCTGTTGCCCAGGTTGGAGTGCAATGGTGTGATCATAGCTCACTGCAGCCTTGAACTCCTGAGCTCAAGCGATCCTCCCGCCGTGATCTTCCAAGTAGCTGGGACTCCAAGCACACAGCACTGTTTCCGGCCAATTTTAATGTTTTTTTCTTCAGAACAAGGTCTTGCTGTGTTGCCCAGGCTGGTCTCAAACTCCTGGGTTCAAGCCAACCTCCTGGCTCAGCTTCCCAAAGCAGTGAGATTACAGGCAGGAGCCACTGTGCCTGGTCTCTTCCGACACTGAGGTTTCTTTTGTCCACCTCGGGGACCTGAGGTCTCCCCAACCCTGTTCCTAACAGTTCTGCCCTGCTCCTGGCCCCCAAATCTTCCCCATCTTTTTGTCCCAATCCTGATGTCTTCTCCATCCCAGACCTGAGGTCTCCTCTGTCCCCCTCCAGGCCCTGAGGTCTCCTTGTCCTGGTCCATTCTCAGCTCAGCTCCTCTGGCCTGGTCCTGTCCTTGTGGGGCTGACATTCTAGTGGGAGAGACAGGGTCACCAAGATAAATTAGTAAAATATGGTAAGCGAGTGAGAAGCAGGGAGAGGAGGATACTGGGTGTTCATAGGGGTGGGGAATTTAGACATGGTGGTCAGCAAGGCATCACTGAGAAGGTGACTTTGAGGGATGTCCTGGAGGGAGAAAGCCGTGTAGCCATCTGGAGACAGAGCATCTAGGCAGAGGGAACAGTCAGTGCAATGGCCCTGAGGTAGGAGTGTATTAGCCTGCTCTCACACTGCTATAAGGAACTACCTGTAGGCTGGGTACAGTGGCTCACACCTGTAATTCCAGCATTTAGGGAGATCAAGGCAAGTGCATCACTTGAGGTCAGGGGTTAGAGACCAGCCTGGCCAACATGGTGAAACCCTGTCTTTACTAATAATACAAAAACTAGCTGGGTGTGGTGGCACACGCCTGTAGTCCGAGCTACTCAGGAGGCTGAGGCAGGAGAAACACTTAAACCCAGAGGTGGAGGTTGCAGTGAGCCGAGATCATGCCACTGCACTCTAGCCTGGGTGACAGTGAGACTCCATTAAAAAAAAAAAAAAGAAAGCACTACCAGAGGTTGAGTAATTTATAAAGAAAGAAGAGGGGTTTAATTGACTCACAGTTCCTCACGGGTGGGGCGGCCTCAGGAAACTTACAATCATGGCAAAAGGTGAAGGGGAAGCAGGGTATGTCTTACATGGCAGGAGGAGAGAGCATGGAAGGGAAGCTGCCGCTTTTGGCTTTTTTTTTTCCAGACAGTCTTGCTATGTCGCCCAGGCTGGAGTGCAGGGGCATGATCTTGGTTCACTGTAACCTCTGCCTCTGGGTTTCAAGCAATTCTCCTGCCACAGCCTCCTGAATAGCTGGGATTACAGGCCTGCGGCACCACACTCAGCTAATTTTTGTCTTTTTAGTAGAGACAGGGTTTTACCATGTTGGCCAGGCTGGTTTCGAACTCCTGACCTTGTGATCTGTCTGCCTCAGCCTCCCAAAGTGCTGGGATTACAGGTGTGAGCCACTGTGTTCAGCTGGAAACTGCCACTTTTAAACTGTCAGATCTCATGAGAACTCACTCACTATCAGAACAGCATAGGGGAAACCGCCCCCAGGACCCAGTCTCCTTCCACCAGGTTCCTCCCTTGACACATAGGGATTACAATTGGAGATGAGGTTTGGGTGGGGACACAGAGCCACACCATATCAAGGCGTGTGCCATTGTATGCATTTGAAGAACACCAAGGAGGCCTGTGTGGCTGAAGCAGAATGAATGAGGTGAAGAGGAAAGAAATGAGTCTAAGGAGGTGACAGGGCCGGGCGTGCAGGGCCTTGTCAGTTACAGCACGGACTTTGGTTTTATTCTGAGGAAGATGGAGCCATAGGAGGAATCTAAGCAGAGGGGGACATGATCTGACTCAGAGGAACAAGCCCAAGCATCGTGTCTCTGGTTGCACAGGGGGAGCAGACGGGGGTGGGCTGAGCAGGAGCAGGAAGGCAGAGGGGTGACTGCACTAGTCCAGGTAAGAGACATGGTGGTCGGGATCGGAGTGAGGGTAGTGGGAGCAGGAGACCTGGGTGGGTTCTGCGTAGATTTTGGAGCTAGAGACAACAGGATTTGTTGATGGATCTTATATGAAGGGTGAGAGAAGGAGTGAGGACTAGAAGGGGACTAAAGCCTGTTGGCCCGAGCACCTGGAAACATGTATAACTCATCATGCTCAGCTTATCAATCAGCAAACATGTATTGAATGCCTGCTTTTGGCCTGGCCTTGCACTGAACACACAGAGGCATCTCCCCTGTGCTGTCGCAGCCCCCCAGTGCTGACCCCTCTGTCTGCTTGTCTTTTCTTTTTTTTTTTGAGACAGAGTCTTGCTTTGTTGCCCAGGCTAGAGCACAGTGGTATGGTCTTGGCTCACTACAACCTCCACCTCCTGGGTTTAAGCGATTCTCCTGCCTCGACCTCCCAAGTAGCTGGGACTACAGGTGTCCACCACCACGCCTGGCTAATTTTTATATTTTTAGTAGAGACGGGGTTTCACCATATTGGTCAGGCTGGTCTCAAACTCCTGACCTTGTGATCCACTCGCCTTGGCCTCCAAAGTGTTGGGATTACAGGCATGAGCCACCACAATTGGCCCACTTTTATTTTTTTTGAGACAGGGTCTGGCTCTTTCACGCAGGTTGGAGTGCCGTGTGGCATCTTCTCGGCTCACTGCAGCCTCCACCTCCTGGGCTCAAGCCATTCTCCTGCCCCAGCCTCCTGAGGAGCTGGGACTACAGGCATGCACTACTATGCTCAGCTAATTTTTTGTATTTTTTGATAGAGATGAGATTTCATCATGTTGTCAAGGCTGGTCTCAAAGTCCTGAGATCAAGCAATCCGCACCCCTTGGTCTCCCAAAGTGCTGGAATTACAGGTGTGACCACCACGCCCAGTCTTCTGTCTGCTTTTGAGTTTGACAGTGTGTGGATGGGTCTGAACCAGGGGCACCCTGAGGGCAAGGCCAGGGCTGACTTGGTCATCGCTGTGTCCCTGACATCTCCCAGCACTACAGTCACAAAGCCAGTGCTAACTGAATGCTTGTCAGAGACACAGAGACACACAGAGGCAGAACAAGGCGGATTACGCTGCCCCAAGAGGTGGAAGGACAGAGACCCAGGGAAGTAGGGATTTCCACAGACACATCAGGGGACACACAGGATGGATCCACAGCACCTGGCTGGCATTATCATCCCCACTGTCTCTGTGGAAAGAATGAATGAATTCCAACAACAGTGGCTAAGTGCCCAGGTCACTGGGCCTCTTGGGTATTGAACCCTGGCACTTTGGGATCAGAACTGCAATTAATAACCATTTCTGCAATTAATAACCATTTCATGATACTGCTTTCTTTCTTTCTTTTTTTTTTTGAGACAGAGTTTCACTCTTGTTACCCAGGCTGGAGTGCAATGGCGGGATCTCGGCTCACCGCAACCTCCGCCTCCTGGGTTCAGGCAATTCTCCTGCCTCAGCCTCCTGGGTAGCTGGGACTACAGGCACGCGCCACCATGCCCAGCTAATTTTTTGTATTTTTAGTAGAGACGGGGTTTCACCATGTTGACCAGGATGGTCTCGATCTCTTGAGCTCGTTGATCTACCCGCCTCGGCCTCCGGAAGTGCTGGGATTACAGGTGTGAGCCACTGCGCCCGGCCCCCATGATACTGCTTTCTGCAAGTAAACGGTGAGGGATGGCTGGGTGCAGTGACTCACGTCTGTAATCCCAGCACTTTGGGAGGCTGAGGTGGTTGGATCAGTTGAGGTCAGGAGTTTGAGACTGTCCTGGCCAACATGGTGAAACTCTGTCTCTACTAAAGGTGTAGAAGTGAGCCAGGCGTGGCGTTGAGTGCCTGTGATCCCAGATGCTCAGCAGGCTGAGGCAGGAGAATCGCTTAAACCCGGGAGGCAGAGGTTGCGTGAGCCCAGACCTACCACTGCACTCCAGCCTGGACGACAGAGCAAGACTGTCTCACAACAAAACAAAACAAAACAAAACAAAACAAAACACAAAACAACACAGTGAGGGATGGCTGAATGAAAAGCAGAAAAACTCAGAGAAGGAAACTGAGGCCAGCCAGGTGCAGTGACTCATGCTTATAATCCCAGCACTTTGAGAGGCTGAGGCAGGTGGATTACCTGATGTCAGGAGTTCAAGACCAGCCTGGCCAACATGGAGAACCCTCATCTCTACTAAAAATACAAAAATTACCCAGGTGTGGTGGTGTGCACCTGTAATCCCAAGTACTGGGGAGGCTGAGGCAGGAGAATCGCTTGAACCCAGGAGTCAGAGGTAGCAGTGAGCTGAGACACTACCACTGCACTCCAGCCTTGGGGACAGAGTGAGACTTGGTCTCAAAAAAAAAACCAACCCAACAAAGCAACTACAGAGTCACAGACCTGGAGATGGACAGAGTCCAATGGCAGATGCGGGAAGATGCCAGGTGAGAGATGCCAGGGGTGGCCCAGCTCGGCTGTCCCTGCAGCTTGACCTGCACACTCGCCCTCTTCCCTGCCCCCAACAGGTGATCGACTTCGGCTCGGCCAGCATTTTCAGCGAGGTACGCTACGTGAAGGAGCCGTACATCCAGTCGCGCTTCTACCGGGCCCCCGAGATTCTTCTGGGGCTGCCCTTCTGTGAGAAAGTGGACATGTGGTCCCTAGGCTGCGTCATGGCTGAGCTGCACCTGGGCTGGCCCCTCTACCCAGGCAACAATGAGTATGACCAGGTGCGCTACATCTGTGAGACCCAGGGCCTGCCCAAGCCGCACCTGTTGCACGCTGCCCGCAAGGCCCACCACTTCTTCAAGTGCAACCCCCATCCTGACGCCACCAACCCCTGGCAGCTCAAGTCCTCAGCTGACTACCTGGCTGAGACCAAGGTAAGGGAAACCTTGGGTGAGGGCAGTCAGTGTGAAGAAAAATATCTATGTTGGGCTAGGTGGCTCACACCTGTAATCCCAGCACTTTGGGAGATTGTGGTAGGAGGATCCCTTGAGCCCAGGAGGTTGAGACTAGCTTGGGGAACATAGTGAGACCTCCTCTTTGTAAAACATGAAAAAAAAAATTAGCCGGGCATGGTGGTATGGGCCTATTGTCCCAGATACGTGGTGGGCTGAGACAGGAGAATTCCTTGAGCCTAGGAGGTCCAGGCTGCAGTGAGCTGTGATCATGCCAGTGCACTTGAGTCTGGGTGACAAAGCAAGATCCTGTTTCAAAAAGAAAAAAAGAATAATCTATCAGACCAGAAAAATGGAGCGAAAATAGAAAAAAAGAAAAACATTGTTTCAATAATTGAAAAAAAATTCTGGGCTGAACTTCAGCGAGGACTGGACCTTGAGGGTCAGCCTAGGGCATTTTCTTTTCTTTTTTTTTTTTTTTTTGAGACAGAGTTTCGCTCTTGTTACCCAGACTGGAGTGCAATGGCGCGATCTCGGCTCACCGCAACCTCTGCCTCCTGGGTTCAGGCAATTCTCCTGCCTCAGCCTCCTGAGTAGCTGGGATTACAGGCACGTGCCACCATGCCCAGCTAATTTTTGCATATTTTTAGTAGAGACGGGGTTTCACCATGTTGACCAGGATGGCCTTGATTTCTTGACCTCGTGATCCACCCGCCTCGGCCTCCCAAAGTGCTGGGATTACAGGCTTGAGCCACCACGCCCGGCCGGGCATTTTCTTTTCTTCCTTTTTTTGAGATGGAGTCACACTCTGTTGCCCAGGCTGTAGTGCAGAGGCATGATCTCGGCCCACTGAAACCTCTATCTCCAGGGTTCAAGCGGTTCTCCAGCCTCAGCCTCCCGAGTAGCTGGGACTACAGGGGCATGCCACCATGCCTGGCTAATTTTTTGTATTTTTAGGAGAGGCAGGGTTTCACCATGTTAGCCAGGATGGTCTCGATTCCCTGACCTCAGGTGATCCACCCCCCTGGGCCTCCCAAAATGCTGGGATTACAGGCACAAGCCACTGCACCTGGCCTCTAGCCTAGGGCATTTTCACAGCAAGAAAGAGCTGGATGAGATCAAATGTGGGATTGGTTAGCGCTGGGCGGGGGCTGCTGCAAGATACATCTGGGAGAGAAACTGCAGGGAGAATTGGATATTTGAAAGTCAGATGCAGGGGCTGCTGTAGCAAGAGGGATCTGGGTCATACCACAAGTGTGACAGGAAGATCCGGGTAGCTTCTCTGCCACCTTCAGCTCTGGGGTCAGCAACTTGTGTGGCATGAGGGATTAGACCACAGAGAAAATACAAGGTCTGAGGTTGGCTTTGAGAATTGCGAGAGAGGCCAAGTGCAGTGGCTTAAGCCTGTGGTCCCAGCACTTTGGGATGCCAAGGTAGGAGGATCGCTTGAGGCCATCCCCGGTGACACAGCAAGAATGCAACTCTAGAAAAATTGTTAAGGCTGGGCGAGGTGGCTCACACCTGTAATCCCAGCACTTTGGGAGGCCGAGACGGGAGGATCACCTGAGGTCGGGAGTTTGAGACCAGCCTGACCAACATGAAGAAACCCTGTCTCTTAAAAAAAAAAATTAAATTTAGCAAGATGTGGTGGCACACACCTGTAGTCCCCAAGCTACTTGGAAGGCTAGGTGGGAAGATCACTTGAACCCAGGAGTTGACGGCTGCAGTGAACTATGACTGCACCACAGCCTGGGTGACAGAGTAAGACCCCATTTCAAAAAAAAAAGGATCTGAGGCCATGTGCAGTGGCTCACCCTGTGTAATCCCAGCACTTTGGGAGGCCAAGGTGGGTGGACCACCTGAGATCAGGAGTTTGAGACCAGCCTGGCCAATGTGGTAAAACTCCATCTGTACTAAAAATACAAAAATTTGCCAGGCATGGTGGTAGTCATCTGTAATCCCAGCTACATGGGAGGCTGAGGCAGGAGAATCACTTAAATTTGGAAGGTGAGGTTGCAGTGAGCTGGGCCTGGGCTACAAGAGTACAACTCCGTCTCAAAAAAAAAAAAAAAAAGCCGGGCGCAGTGGCTCACGCCTGTAATCCCAGCACTTTGGGAAGCCAAGGCAGGTGGATCACCTCATGTCAGGAGTTTGAGACCAGTCTGATCAATATGGTGAAACCTCGTCTCTATAAAAAAAAAAAAGAATCTGGCTGGGCATGAGGGCTCACACCTGTAATCCTAGCACTTTGAGAGGCCCTAGCACTTTTGGGAGGGGGGTGGATCACTTGAGGTCAGGCGTTCAAGACCAGCCTGGCCAACCTGGTGAAACCCCATCTCTACAAAAAATACAAAAATTAGCCAGGTGTTTTGGCAGACGCCTATAATTCCAGCTACTAGGGAGGCTAAGGCAGGAGAATCACTTGAACCTGGGAGGTGGAGGTTGCAGTGAGCTAGATGGCACCATTGTACTCCAGCCTGGGCTATAAGAAAGAAACTCCGTCTCAAAAAAAAAAAAAAAAAAAGGATCATTGTGAGACCTCAGGTGAGTCTAGAGGTTTGGGGCAGCAGCCAGTCGGCTACCTCTATGGCTTTACCCCTCCAAACTGTGCAGCAAGAGCCTGGGTTAGACAGCAGAGGGGACTAGAAGTTTGAGCTTGATTTCACAACAAGGGTCTGGATGGGACCACAGGTGAGACTAAAAGTCGATGGCAATGCCATATCGGGGGGTGACAAACTAGTATAGTAAGAAAGCTCTGGGTTTGACCACCGGGAGGCCTGGGATCAAGTGTGGAGCTGAGGCTGTAAGAGGGACCTGGATTTGATTCCAGGAAGGACTAGAGATTCTGGATATTCCCTCTGCTAGCTGCTGGTAGGAGCTGCACCCTTGGGGCCAGGGAGGACTGGAGGTCTGGGGCGAGGGATGGAACTTGGGCCAGTGAGACCTTTGGGTTAGATTAGAGGGGCTCAGGTGTAAGGGATCCAAGGTGGCCCTCCTAGCAGCCAGAGAGCTCCAAGGTGGATCATGGTCAGACCTGGAAGTCAGGGCTACATGTGGGTGACACATCGGGCGTGCCCAGGGCCCGAGACCTGCACATGTGTCAGCCCCACCCCCTTCCCCATGCCCCACCAGGTGCGTCCACTGGAGCGCCGCAAATACATACTCAAGTCCTTGGACCAGATCGAGACAGTGAATGGTGGCAGTGTGGCCAGTCGGCTGACCTTCCCTGACCGGGAGGCACTGGCAGAACAGGCCGACCTCAAGAGCATGGTGGAGCTGATCAAGCGCATGCTGACCTGGGAGTCCCACGAGCGCATTAGCCCCAGTGCCGCCCTGCGCCACCCCTTTGTGTCCATGCAGCAGCTGCGCAGTGCCCACGAGACCACCCGCTACTACCAGCTCTCACTACGAAGCTGCCGCCTCTCACTGCAGGTGGAGGGCAAGGCCCCCACGCCTGTCGTGGCCACTGCAGAAGATGGGACCCCCTTCTACCATCTGGCCGAGGAGAAGGAGGCCACGGGCATGGACAGTGTGGCCGGCAGTGGGCCCTTCTTCCGAGAGGAGAAAGCACCGGGTGTGCAAATAGCCATCGACCAGCTGGATGACCTGAGTCTGCAAGAGGCTGGGCACAGGCTGTGGGGCAAGACCCATACTGACGTGGTCTCTGATGTGCTGGCCCCGCTCAAGGCAGCCATCACTGGCCACCACATGCCTGACTCGGACCCCGAGCCCATCCTGGCCTTCTACAGCAGCAGCCTAGGAGGCCACTACAAGGCCTGCAAGCCACCCTTGGGCTCCAAGTCCAACTCCAAATTCAGCAACCTCATCCAGCTGAGCCAGGTCTCGCCTGAGGAGGACAAACCCTGCTGGCGCCATGGCTGGGAGGAAGGAGAGCACATTAGGGCCTCTGCTGAGTCCCCGGCCATCCTGCAGCGAGACAGGGATGGGCCCAACATCAAAGACATGACCGTGGATGCTGAGGTGAGCTGGGGGCATTCAGGATATGATTAGGGTGTGAGAGGCTCAGCACACACTCACCCACATTCAAAGATAAGATTAGGGTGTGGGGAGGCTCAGCACACACTTACCCACATTCAAAGATAAGATTAGGGTGTGAGAGGCTCAGCACACACTCACCCACATTCAAAGATAAGATTAGGGTGTGGGGAGGCTCAGCACACACTCACCCACATTCAAAGATAAGATTAGGGTGTGGGAAGGCTCAGCACACACTCACCCACATTCAAAGATAAGATTAGGGTATGGGGAGGTCAGCACACACTCACCCACATTCAAAGATAAGATTAGGGTGTGGGGAGGTCAGCACACACTTACCCACATTCAAAGATAAGATTAGGGTGTGGGGAGGCTCAGCACACACTCACCCACATTCAAAGATAAGATTAGGGTGTGGGAAGACTCAGCACACACTCACCCACATTCAAAGATAAGATTAGGGTGTGAGAGGCTCAGCACACACTCACCCACATTCAAAGATAAGATTAGGGTGTGGGGAGGCTCAGCACACATTCACCCACATTCAGGATACAATTAGGGTGTGGGGAGGCTCAGCACACACCTGATGCCATCAGGATATGATAAAGGCTCAGCACATACTTGGCTACCTTCAGCCTGTGGCAAAAGCTCAGGGCACAGTATTCCACTTATAAGAAGTGATAAAAAGAAGCTGGGCATGGTGGCAGGTGCCTGTAATCCCAGCTACTCGGGAGGCTAAGGCAACGGAATTGCTTGAACCCGGGAGGCGGAGGTTGGAGTGAGCCAAGATCGTGCCATTGCACTCCAGCCTGGGCAACAAGAGCAAAACTATCTCGAAAAAAAAAAAAAAAGTTATAAAAAGCCTGGGCAACATCCTGTCTCTATCAAAAAATTAGAAATATTAGCTGGTTTTGGTGGTGTGCACTGGTAGTCCCAGCTACTTGGGAGGCTGAGGTAGGAGGATCCCTTGAGCCAGGGAGGTTGAGGCTGCAGTGAGCTGCTATTACATCATTATAAAGAGGCAATAAAGGCCCAGCCCTGGCGATAAAGACCCTAGCACACGCTCACCTCCATCAGGAGGTGACAGAGGCTCAGCAGACGCTCACACACTATTAGCTGCTTGGCTGATGCCCCTCTCTCCTCTTCCCCACAGAGGCCAGACCCTGAGCTCTTCGACCCCAGCAGCTGTCCTGGAGAATGGCTGAGTGAGCCAGACTGGACCCTGGAGGGCATCAGGGGCCCACGAGCTCAGGGGCTCCCACCCCGCCACTCCTACCAGCACAGTCCGCACCGGGCCACCAGCTTTCTCCAGCATGTCAGTGGGCACCATTGATGGTGATTCCACCCCTGCCCATCACTGGGGGCTACACTAGCTGGGCTGGCATCCCCTCCCAACGCGAACTGCTCCTCAGAGCCATCTCCCGAACCACAAATTATTCTTACAGAAAGATAGCTATCTAGAAATTCCCTTTCCCCCTGCCTGCAGTGCATGCCTGCATACCTCTCCTGAACACAGCAGGGCTTTGAAGTCTGGCCTGTGCCCCTTGGCCAGAGGGACAGCAGGAAGGGGGCTGCACCCCACTGGCCCTGCACCCATCCTCGGCCCTGTTGCCTCCGTCTATTTCAATACAGAAGTGTTCAATAGTCCTGCTTCAAGCCTGCTCTTACTGCCTGGGGCTTGGACTGGCTCTGGGGAATGGGGGCTCCAGAGTGGCACCCAGGGACTTGCTCTGCGATGCTGGGCCCACTTGACCCCTGGCCTGGGCTGCTGTCACACCAGGAGGGAAACGCTGTGCTTGGTTGACTAACCCATGCCCTAAATAGGCTATGTGCTTGGCATGCTGGGAACCTACCCTCAGAACATGCTGTGTGCTCAGCATGTGTTCATAAGCTGGCCAGGTGCTGGCATCTCCTTGTCTGTTGACCTGTCCCTCCTACATGTTTATGGGGTTGGCATGCACTCATCTACATTTGGGGCATGCTCAGTGTCGATCCACTTGGCAGGCTGAAATTCACACGAGGTGCATGCTCCCGCGTTCAGCGATGCTCGGTCCCCCATGGTGGGATGTGGCAATGGTTTGGTCTCTCCCGGTCAATCTGGGAACATGCTTCTGTTCAGCACATGCTACCCCATGCTGGCTACATGAGTGTTAAGTCCATGCCAGGCAACAGGGTGGCCCGCTACGTGCTCAGCACAGGTCAGCCCGTGCGTACTGCATGCTAAGGGCTCAGCACATGCCAGTGACAGGCTGAGGGCTCAGCACACAAGGATGTCCCCACCAGAGGCCCATGCCAGCTATTCTCTACCCCTCCACCCCATCTCACACCACTCAGTCAGGCACAGGCTGTACAGACAAGTTATTTACTTCTTATTATAACCTTGGGCCCTTTTTTGCCCTGTTAAGTGGGGGTAGGCCAGGGGAGCCGGGCCCAGCATGCATCCCCACTTCTTTGGGGGCTGATCGCTCCCCCAGCTCTGCTGGGTCCCAGGGCCATAGCATCAGGCCGGTGAGGGCAGAGGTAGAGGTGGGAGAGCAGGGGAGAGAGCCTGAGGAGCCACAACGGGGCAGACAGAAGCGGGGGCACGGGGACAGGGACCGTGACCCAGAGCATCTGGGTCCGCGGGGGCCCAGCAGGCCTCAGAGCAGGCGGCAGGCGTTGCCCACGCTGTTGGCTGAGGTGTCAAGGTCATGGCTGTAAGGGGAGTCCCAGTCCCTCAGGAAAATGGCCTCCAGCTGGCTCCGCAGGCCACCCCTCCCGTTCTGTGTCACCAGTAGCGAGGTGCCCGCCGTCTCTGTGAAGTAGTTGCCTGACCAGTTGGAGGTTCCTAGAGAGGAGCAGGTGGAGTGTGAGGGCGCCAGGCCTGGTGTCTGCAGCCCCCACTTCTTCCGCGTCCTGTGGTGCTTGGGACACACTCACCAATGTAGGTGGCGCGTTCGGTCACCATGTACTTGTTGTGGTTGACACGGGCATATGGGATTCGGGCCTGGGCCTCATCCGCAGGGACCACGAAGAGTTTCTGACGGGGAGGGGAGGATGGGAAGGAGTGTGAGAGGCAAGGGAGTCGGAGGAGCCCTGGGATCAGGGAGGCAGGTCTGCCTGCAGACGGGCTGCTGTTTGTTCCTGAGGGCTTGTCTCAGGACCCCCCCCCGCCCCCCGCTGTTTCCAGAACATCTTCCATGGCCCTTCCCACCAGGGCAGGGGCTTCCTCTGGGCATCCCCACCCTGGCCCCTACCCCTCTGCCTGGGCCTCCTCCATCCCAGCCCTGACCCCTCTGCTTATGCCCCCTACCCCAGCCCCGACCCCTCTACCTGCTCACTCCCCCAGTCCTGGTCCCAACCCTTCTCCCTGTGCCCCCCCCCCAATCCTGGCCCCAACCCCTTTGCCTGGGCCTCCTCCATCCCGGCCCTGACCCCCTCTCTCTGCCCCCGAATCCCAGCCCCAACCCCTCTCTATGTCCCCTCCTCCCAACCTGACCCATGGTTTCCCCACTGTGACGGGGCTCACTGTGGACCATCCTTGTCAGGTGACAGACAACCTCCATGAAGGCTGTGTCCCCAGGACTGCCCCACACAGGGGCGGAGGGGTGGCCTGAGGCAGTGCTTACCACCTGGATGTCGGAGTGGGTATGGTTGTCACGCAGGGCAGCCAGGGAGAGCAGGAAGGCCCGTATGGATGGGTCCGAGTGTCCCCAGCAGCTGACGAGCAGGCGCACCTTGACACCACGCTCATAGGCAGCCCGTCGCAGCTCGTCGTCAATGGCAGGCCAGAACCTGGGGAGAGTGTGTGGGAGGTGGAGGCAGGATGCAGAGGGTGGCTGCGTCCACAGGCTTCAGGGAACCAAGTCTAGGCCCTCCTTAGCCACTGGGAGGACTTCCTCATCGCTGGCTCCCAGAACCCGTTCCTGCCTCCAGAAATCCCACATCCTCTTCCTGGCTGTGGCTCCCATTCCCACTCCCCAAAACCCAGTCTTGTCATCCTCTTTTTTTTTTGAGATAGGTTCTCAAAAAGGCTGGAGGGAGCAGTGGCACAATCATAGCACAGTGGAGCCTCCAACTCCTGGCTCAAGTGCTTCATCCTCCTGCCTCAGTCTCCTCCGTAGCTGGGACTGCAGGCGGGTGCCACTGCACTGGGGTAATCTTTAAATTTTTCTGTAGAGATGGGGTCTCACTATGTTGCCCAGGCTGGTCTCAAACTCCTAGTGATCCTCCTGCCTCGGCCTCTCAAAGTGCCGGCATGCCTGGACCCATCATCTTACCTACTGCCCCTAGAACACCTTCTCTGAGCCCCACAAACCCCATCATCCACCTGGATGTTACAGTGGGTAGGGTTATCTTTTTTTTCTTAGGCAGAATTTCACTCTTTTTGCCCAGGGTGGAGTGCAATGGCACGATCTTGGCTTGCCGCAACCTCCGTTTACGGGGTTCCAGTGACTCTCCTGCCTCAGCCTCCCGAGTAGCTGGGATTACAGGCACCATCAAGCTGGGCTAATTTTGCATTTTTAGTAGAGGCAGGTTTCTCCATGTTGGTCAGGTTGGTCTCGAACTCCTGACCTCAGGTGATCTGCCTGCCTTGGCCTCCCAACGTGCTGGGATTACAGGCCTGAGCCACCTCACCTGGCCTGGTTGTTATCCTTATCCCAGGATCACAAATCCCCAAGCTTGCTACCCTAAACCCAGATACTTTTAGCCCCCATCCCCCAAGCCCCTCTGTTTCCAGCCTCTTACCTCCCCAAATCCCACATCCTGCACCTCTGCCTCAGGCTTCCAGTCCCCAATCCTTGCCCCCATCCCCAATATTCTCATCTTTCTCTTTTTTGTTGTTTTTTTGAGATGGAATCTTGCTCTGTCACCCAGGCTGGAATGCAGTAGCACGATCTCAACTCACTGCAACCTCCGCCTCCAGGTTCAAGCAATTCTCCTGCCTCAGCCTCCCAAGTAGCTGGGATTAAAGGCAGGTGCCATCACACCTAACTAATTTTTGTATTTTTAGGAGAGAAGGGATTTCACCGTGCTAGCCAGGCTGGTCTTGAACTCCTGACCTCAAGTGATCTACCCACCTCGGACCCCAAAGCGCTGGGATTACAGGCATGAGCCACTGTGCCTGGTCCTGTTATCCTTTTCTGTTTCCTCAAACCTTGTCCTAAAACCTCATCCCTGTCTCCTCTGTAATCCCTCTGTCTCCTGTCTCAAGTGCCCATATACCTGCTTTCCATCACCTCCTGGTGACTGTCTCTCCCTGCAGCTTCTCTTCCATCTGTCCCCTTGCTTGGAGCTCCGCCAGCTTTCTGGTCCCCATGACTCCCTCTCCCGTCTCCTGTCTACCTGCTGTGGCTCCCTATCTCCACGCCCGGCAGTACCTGCGAGGGTGGGAGAACTCCAGAGTGGGCAAGTAGTTCATGACTGCGATGTAGATGAAACTCCGGGCACTGTCCACCACGTTGAGTAGAGCCTTCAGGTCTGGAGTGCGGCCACTTGGACACAGGGGTGGGGGCGCACTCTGAGGGCGAGGGGACAGTCAAGACACATGCCCTGCCAGGGGCATTGTCACAGTGGTCGCCTCATATGGACAGCTCATCACAAGCCAGGTCCTGTGCATCTCACAGAATCCTCAGCCTTCATGAAGAGGAGGGTCAATCACTACGTCCATTTCACAGGTGAGGGAACTGAGGCTCAGAGGGTAAGTGACTTACTTAAGGTCACACAGCGGATAAACGGAGCCGGGATTCAAACCCAGGCTGCCTCATTCCAGAATTTATGCTCTAACCCAGTGCTTCTCAATGTAAGGTCCCTGATCCAGCGGCAACAGCATCACCTGGGAACTTGTTAGAAATGCAGATTCTTGTGCCTCACTGCTCACGTCCTACTGAATCAGTGCTGGGTGGGGCCCAGGAACCTGGGTTTTAACAAGCCCTCCAGGTGACTCTGAGGCATGCTCAGGCTTGAGGACCTCTACTCAAGTCACTTTTTTTTTAAAATCACCCCCACGGCCCCCCCCCCGTCTTTTTTTTGAGACAGAGTCTCGCTCTGTTGCCCAGGCTGGAGTGCAATGAGATCTTGGCTCATTGCAACCTCTGCCTCCCGGGTTCAAGCAATTCTTTCTCAGCCTCCTGAGTAGCTGGGACTACAGGTGCCTGCCACCATGCCCAGCTCGTTTTTGTATTTTTAGTAGAGACAGAGTTTCACCATATTGGTCAGGCTGGTCTCAAACTCCTAACCTTAGGTGATCCACCCACCTCGGCCTCCCAAAGTGCTAGATGCTAGGCATGAGCCATGAAGCCCAGCCTCAAGTCCTTTTCTACCCCGATTTGCTCACAGCCTGCCCTGACTGGGAAGCTCTCGTGTGCCCGGTGCCACACTAGGCCCTCTACGTAGCTCCACCGCCACCACCCCCCCCGCTTTTTTTTTGAGACAGAATCTTACTGTCTCCCAGGCTGGAATGCAATGGTGCAATCTCAGCTCCCTGCAACCTCCACCTCCTGGGTTCAAGTTATTCTCCTGCCTCAGCCTAAGTAGCTGTGATTACATGTGCCTGCCATCATGCCTTGCTAATTTTTTGTAGAGTCGGGGTTTCACCACGTTTGCCAGGCTGGTCTCCAACCCCTGAACTTAAGTGGTCTGCCTGCCAGGCCTCCCAAAGTGCTAGGATTACAGGTGTAAGCCACCATGCCTGGCCCCCCAGCTCCCTTAACGCTCAACAGACAAGGAAACGGAGGCTCTAAAAGAAGTGGTAATGAGGAGAGCCTTGGTTCCCTGTGGGAGGCCCCCTAGTGAAAGACCCCAGTGAGGCACGCTTCCCTGCGTCCACGCTTTAGTGTGCCTTCCACGATGACTCTGGGCTTGGACAGGTGACTTGCTCAGGGTGACCTAGGGAGACCTGGGTTGCCTGCCTCAACTAGTGAAAATATCAAGAGCTAATTGTCCAGAGTGATCAGTATCTGCCATGGGCAAGAGCCAGTGTGGTCCAATAGAGCCTGAAACAGTGATAGAAATGTCCAATGTGGTGGCCACTTGCTACAGGTGCCACTGAGCATATGAAATGTGGCTACTGCATGAGGAACTGAATTTTGTCTTTGTTTTAGAAACAGGGCAACGGCCTGTTGCCCAGGCTGGAGTCCAGTGGTACAGTCAGCTCACTTCAGCTTCAAACTCCTAGGCTCAAGTGATCCTCCTGCCTTAGCATCCCCAGGGACTACCGGTGCACCCAACCACACACGGCTAATTTTTATTATTTTTTTTGTAAAAATGGTGTCTCCCTAATTCTTGGGTATCTTGTCTAGAACAATAAATAATAAAACCAAAAAAAAAAAAAAGAAAAAAGAAATGGTGTTTCCCTATGTTGCCCAGGCTGGTCTTGAACTCCTGGCCTCAAGTATTCCTTCCATCTTGTCCTCCCAAAGTGCTGGGATTACAGGCATGAACAACCATGCCTGGCTTGAAAAAAATTCTTTTTGAGACAGGCTGTCACCCAGGCTAGAGTGCAGTGGTATGATCATGGCTCAATGCAGCCTTGATTTCCTAGGCTCAAGTGATCCCCCTGCCTCAGCCTCCCAAGTAGCTAGGACTATATACATGCACCACCCCACTGAGCTATTTTTTTTTGTAAAGACAGAGTCTTGCTATGTTGTCTAGGCTGGCCTCAAGTGATCCTCTTACCTCAACCTCCCAAAGTGTTGGGATTACAGGCATAAACCACCTAAGCTGGTCTGAATTGTTAATTGCATTTAATTAGCTTAATTGAAAGAGCCACCTGTGGCTAATTCAAGTGATTCTCTGCCTCAGCCTCCCGAGTAGCTAGGATTACAGGCACCCACCACCATACCTGGCTAATTTTTTTGTATTTTGAGCAGAGATGGGGTTTCACCATCTTGGCCAGGCTGGTCTTGAACTCCTGACCTTGTGATCCACCTGCCTCGGCCTACCAAAGTGCCACGATTACAGGCTGGCCCATTTTCTAACTGAAATAGAGGCCTAAGGACGTTGGCCTAAGCAGACCCCTGACTCCTGACCAAGCAGAATGAGCTGGGGTGAGGACTGGCGGTCAGGATATGCCCTCCCTATCACCAGCAGACAGTGACAGATGGAGGCTGTGAGTGATGGCATGGAGCTGGGACATGGCAGGCCCCACTTGCCCCAGACTCACCGCCAGGTAGGCCAGAGCAGGGGTTCCATTGAGGCAGATCTCCATTGGTGTCTCTTGGTTGTAGCGGGTGTCATAGGGCCGGGGCCAAGTTGATGGGATGGAGCTGCCTGCCTGGCCCAGGAACCAGTAGGCCTCAAATATCTTGGTCAGGTCACGAGCCAGGCAGCTGCAGTTGTACATGACCACGCCCAGCTCCTTGACCTGTGGGAGGCCAGTGCTGAGCTCAGGGATAGTGGCCTGGTGCTCACAGATGATAGGAACACTCCCCAGCCTGGTCTCTGTCTATCCCTCTGTCCCTCAGTGCCCCCCTCCACCCCAGCTCCAATAGCTAAAATCCTGGAATGATTATCAACTTAAGTTTTGATGAAAATCAGTTATCAAATCCGTTCAGAGTTTCCGGAACCTCTGCAATCTGCTTCTACCCTCCATGGAGATAGCTACTACTCGTTCTTAGGTCTAGGCTGACATGCTTCCTCCTTCATGAAGCCTTCTGTGACTACCCAGCCCGTGCCAGGCATTCCTCTGGGCTCTCAACAGTCCCTTGGGATTCCCTCTTCATTCTCTCTGGTGACAAACTGGTCTTCCCATTGGGTTGGGAGGACAGGCACCAGGGATGTCTCAGTCACAGCTGTATCTGTAGCATCTCCCTACATAATTGCTAAGATTAAGGGTTAGGGGAAATACCTGTTGAGGAAATGAATTCGTGAATTAATGTCCTATCTTATTTTCACCTCAATGCCCAAGCTGTTCCCCGTTCCCTATTTTGGGCTAATTCCTCCCTATCCTTCAGGGATCAGATTAGTTGGACCTCCTTTGGGAAACCCTCCAATGCCCCAGGCTGGGGTCTCTGAGCTTCCACAGCCCTCTGTTCCCTCCATCCTGGCCCTGACCCTCTGTCTGTCTCCCCAACCCCAGCCCTGACCTCTCTGGGCTGTCATTGTCAGGGAACAGGCCAGTCCGCACTGGACTGGGAGTTCCATGAGGTCCGTCAACACTACCTGGGACAGGGCTGGACCTAGAGCAGGCACACAGAGATGTACAATGAAGGTCAAATGGGTACACAGCTCCTTAATGCCCTGTAGAGGGGCTGGGAACTGCAATCATGGATCAGAGGGAGCCCCAGGCTTCCAGGAGTAGGGGGAGGGCAGTAGAGGGCTCCATCTCGGGATTATTCTTTTCTTTTGAGACGGGGTTTCACTGTCACCCAGGCTGGAATGCAATGGCACAATCTCAGCTCACTGCAACCTCTGCCTACCGGGTTCAAGCGATTCTCTTGCCTCAGCCTCCCCAGTAGCTGGGATTAGCGGTGCCTGCCAGTATGTCTGGCTAATTTTTTTATTTTTAGTAGAGATGGGGTTTCACCACTTTGGTCAGGCTGGTCTCAAACTCCCGGCCTCAGGAGGTCTACCCACCTCGGCCTCCCAAAATGCTGGGATTACAGGCATGAGCCACAGAGCCTAGCCTATTCTTTTTCATTTTAACAGGGTCTCACTCCGTTGCCCAGGCTGGAGTGCAGTGGCACAAATACAACCCACTGTAGCCTGGAACTCCTGGGCTTAAGTGATCCTCCCACTTCAACCCCCCAAGTAGCTGGGACCACAGGTGTGTGCCACCACACTTGGCAATTTTGTTTTTGGAAGAGATGTTGCCCAGACTGGTTTCCAACTCCTGGGCTCAAGTGATCCTCCCACCTTGGGCTCCCAAAGTGTTGGGACTACAGGTGTGAGCCACCATGCCCAGCTTGATTAGGGAGGCCTGGTAGGAGGCAGGGAGGAAGTCATTGCAGAGAATGGGTGGAGAGGACTCTGGATTGAGTAAGGGGTGCAGTCGGAGGCTGGGTGCCCTGTGGGGCAGTGAGTGACCCGGAAGGAAGGTAGACAGGGTGCAGGCAGACCTGGGTCAGTGAGCGCCAGTCCATGTTGGCACTGCCCAGGTAGAAGTGCATCTGGTCCACCACCCAGAACTTGGTATGCAGGACACCATGGGTCAGCTTCTGCATGTCCACCATGCGGACCTGGGCACCTGTGACCAGCAGGGGCAGTGATCAGGGGCCAGGCTGGGTTACCCCAGGCCCACCCCAACCCCAGTTGGGCCCCAGCTCACCACTCTGCAGCAGGGCCTGCAGGTCCGCCTGAGGCTGGGGCCCGTTGGGCTTGCTCACAGTGATTCGGACATTCACGCCCTTTGGTGCCAGGGTCTGCAGCTGCTGGAGGACCTCCTCACCCTGCGGGGAGGGGAGGGGAGAGCTTCTGAGGGGCTGGACCAACCGGCTCTCCAACCCCACAAGGCAATGCCCAGTGGAGTTATTTTAAGACATGATTAGGTGTAAACAGGCTTTCCATTAGCCTGCATAAAGACTTTACAGATTAAGATATTAAGACTTCCTTATCTGTTTAAAACATCTTTATCTGCTTTAATAATTAGTTGCCTGTGATTCCCCTCCAAGGCCTCCTGACCCCTCTTGCCCCTCAGGGACCTTCTCAAAATTCAGCATCAAGGCAGGCCCTCCAGGCCTCTCCCAGGATGTTGTGGGTGAGGCTCAGGCACGGCTGTCCCAGAAGGCATGGGGTGAAGCACAATGATGCCAACAGTAGCACCAGTCAAGGATGCCCATTCTAGGCCCCTTTTCAGTGAACTCACTGAATTCTCACAAGCCGGAGAGGCCAGTCTAATTATACCCCCACCCCCACCCCCACCCCGGAGAACTCAGTAGTGGAGTGGGATTTTGTTTGTTTGTTGAGACAGAGTCTTGCTATGTTGCCCAGGCTGATCTTAAGTTCCTGGGCTCAAGCAGTCCTCCTGCCTCAGTCTCCCAAGTAGCTGGTACCACCACACCCATCTCTGGTGCAGGATTTAAACCCAGATCATCTGCCGCCTACATGTGTTTTAAGCCACTTCAGAGGGAGCCAGCAGGGAGTGGGAGCTCACGCGGTTTCTTAACTTAAAAGAATTGCTTTTTTAGAGACAGGGCCTCACTACGTTGCCCAGGCTAGGGTGCAGTGGCACCATCATGGCTCACTGTAGCCTCCAACTCCTAGGCTCAAGCCATTCTCCTGCTTCAGCTTCCCAAGTAGCTGGGACCACAGGTGTGTACCACTATGCCTGGCTTTGTTTTTTAACTTTTGTAATTATTATTACTTTTTCTTTTTTTTTTTTTTTTTTTGAGACAGAGTTTTGCTATGTTGCCCGGGCTGGAGGATAGTGGCATGATCACGGCTCACTGCAGCCTCCAACTCCTGAGCTCAAGCCATCCTCCTCCTTCCATCTCCTGAGTATCTGAGATTGCACCACAACACCCTGCTAATTGTTTTTTGATTTTTAGCAGAGATGGGGGGCTCACTATGTTGTTCAGACTAGTCTCGAACTCTTGGGCTCAAGCGATCCTCCTGTCTAGGCCTCCCAAAGTGGTGGGATTACATGTATAAGTCACCACGCCTGGCCAAAATTATTTTTTTTTCAGGCAGTTCTTAAGGGGCCTTATTTCCGTAAGTTTTAAGACAACGTCTCACAAAAAGAGGCAGTAGGGAGAAGAAAACAGAAGGAACAAATTGGTGGTTTTCCAATAGCAGAGGTTATCCACGTAGGCTGTTCCTTTTCAAATCATGAAGGAAGTTTTTTTTTTTGAGATAGAGTTCTGCTCTATCTCAGGCTGGAGTGCAATGGCATGATCTTGGCTTACTGCAACCTCTGCCTTCCAGGTTCAAGTGATTCTCCTGCCTCAGTCTGCCGAGTAGCTGGGATTATAGGCATGCGCCACCACGCCCGGCCAATTTTGTATTTTTAGTAGACAGGGTTTCTCCATGTTGGTCAGGCTGGTCTCGAACTCCTGACCTCAGGTGATCTGCCCGCCTGAGTCTCCCAAAGTGCTGGGATTACAGGCACGAGCGACCACACCCAGCATCTTTTATGTTAAGTTTGTCTGCAGATCCTACAAGGATGTAGTTGCAGCAGACCCACAAAGGCTGACTCTATGTCAGGCAGTGTCCTAAAATTTGCATGGATTAGTCCATTTCATTCTCACAAGAGCCCTAAGAAGCAGGTGCTATAAGTTGGTCCCATTTTACAGATAAAGAAACGGAAGCCGGAGAGAAGAGGTGACCTGCTTGGGGTCACACAGCTGGGAGGTGGCCCCTATCTTGAGGCTGGGCTGTTAGTTACTCCACTCTTCCATTTCTTTGTGTGACGGGGTCAGGGCAGCTTGTGGGTGAGTGACATCTGCCAGCCTACTAATCCCTTGTAATCAAACCTGCACCCTGACATTCAGAGGCCTACAGATGACCGTGACAAACGCCCCCAGTCCAGAGGGCCATGTGAAGACAGCTGCTTCCAAACACCTGTGTCCAATCCACTGAGACATGCCCATCTGTCTCCTGGGCTGCAGGAGAAACCCCTTCATCATCCACAGCCCCTGCTGCCTCCCATCCCCTTCCCCTGCTGCTGGCCAGGGCCAAGGTTGCAGGTACCTGCTGGGCAGAGGGCTCCTGCGTGTGGGTGTCATCGTTGGTGAGGGTCCAGTAGAAGGAGGCGATGTCCAGGCTGCTGCGTGCACCGGCAAGCAGGCCCAGCCAGGCCTGGCTGGTGGAAGGGTTCCCCATGGAGGCATTGGGGAAGTCCAGGCCCTCAGGAATGCTTTCCACCAGCACTGCTCTGCGGGGTGGGGAATGCTATCAGCCATATGGTGCCGGAGGTGACTGCTCTGCTGTCCATCCATGGGTGTGTTGAACAGACCGTATTTTTTTTTAGAGACAGGGTCTTGCTCTGTCTCCCAGGCTGGGAGTGCAGTGATGCAATCTCGGTCCACTGCAGCCTGGAACTCCTGGGCTCGAGCGATCCTCCAGCCTCAACCTCTTGAGTAGATGGGACTACAGGTGTGTGCCAATATGCCTGGCTACTCTTTTTACTTTTGGTAGAGATGGAGTCTCACTACATTGCCTAGGCTGGTCTGGAACTCCTGGGCTCAAGCATTCCTCCTGCTTCAGCCCCCCCCTCAAAGTGTTGAGAC